GCGGCAATCCATTTTTATCGGAAGGGGGTTTGGGTGGCTTGACACCGCCATTATACATCAGTTGATCATATAGTAGAGAGAGGAGACCGAGAAAACAGAAAGAATATATAATAGAGTAGAAATGAGCGAAAATATAGAGGAAGGCAGGGAGATAAACACAGAAATGATGAGAAAAATGGAAGTTGGAGAGGGTGGAAGAAAAGTCTTCAAGATGGTAGTAACATGTAATATATACAATGGCAAGGGGCGGAGCTGGTAAGAAAGTAAGGAAGAGTGAGACAGGAGTTGATGGGAGAGGGAAAAAAAAGTATTTGACTATCGGGGTAGTTCATTGTACCTCCATGCGGTGCTTCGAATTACAGTATTCCAAAGACTTATTGGGTTGCAATCTCTAGCCGAGGGACTTGCTTTCGTCTTAGCAAAATGTCTTCACCTTAACTAAAATTGAACTTATTAAATTTTCATAAGTAGCCTCAGTGGTCAAATTGAATTGCAGAGAATTCCTTCCCTTGAAGTAAAACGTATGTAAAACGTACTTATTTGAATTTTTTAGAAAAATCTGTATTTCATAAAAATTCCGTTTTCATTTCAAAATGTTACGGTTTTAGACTCACGATCGTTTTCACCAATGACAATAATGATTTTTTAAAAAACTAATTATAAGAATTATAGATCTAGCTATTTCTTCACTGGACTCGATTTAGCAATAATTCTCAGGAAAATTTTACAATTTGATTTGCCACAAAAATGTCAGGATTCCTGGCAATTCTTTCTCTATGTTATACGAGGTTTTTCATTTTTAAGACATTTCCGCAACGTTTGGTAACTGTGTTTCCAAATTTCCCGAAAATTCTAGAAAAATGCCAATAACAATTAATGTATAAACTCTAAAATTTTGGAATGATATGCAAAAGTTAGGAAATGGATTTCATTATTGAATAGTCCATATTCATTTCAAACTAATATCTGATGATGAAATAATTATCAAAAGCATCAAGACATCAAATAGTTATTTCGATACAGCAAAACATCAGATAGTAGTTTCAATACAGCAAGACATCGAATAGTTGTGTCAATGCAGCAATACATCAGCAAGTTGTTCCGATGCAGCAAATAGTTATTTCAATACAGCCAGACATCGGATAGATGTGTCAATACAGCCAGACATTAGATAGATGTGTCAATACAGCCAGACATTAGATAGATGTGTCAATACAGCCAGACATTAGATAGATGTGTCAATACAGTCAGATATTAGATAGATGTGTCGATACAGTCAGATATTAGATAGATGTGTCAATACAGCCAGACATTAGATAGATGTGTCAATACAGTCAGACATA